ATACAGTGGGGCTGTAAAGTTCTCACCCCAGTTGCAGGAAGCGAGGAGGCCTTGACGACGAGCTAAGGTCAGTGCTGCTGAAATAGATGTAAGATGATCTGTTAGGAACTGCTGGTCTTTCTTTTGCATAAGTAAGGCAGAATAAATCATTCTATCATCCTCAGAAGTCGTATCACGAAATCTGGTGATAAGAGTCTCATTGATAGTTCTAGATCTATTTAAACCAAAAAACATACGTCTCGTCATGGTTTCTATCTGGACTAACTTGCGATCATCAATCTTGTAATTCTTGTACTTGACATCGTTGATCAACTTATAGTTCTCATCGATGTCTTGAGCTTTGAAGAAGGGGTCCATGTTATGCGTGGAGAACTTCTTGGCATGAAAGTTTGGTAGATGTGGTGTCTGAACTTTCGTGGCTTTGTGGAATGCTGCATCTAGATTCTGTGGAACTGCTGCAATCGGGTCGATCGGTGGTAGTGTGATAGCATCTGCATCGTCTTCTTTCATCAGATATGTCTGCGCCACATTGCCATTTTTAGATGGTGATGAGAGATCTAGGTTATTGACCATCCAATACCGTATCTCAGCATCGGAGAAAATAACTCCTCCATCATCCTCTATACCATCATCATTGATGAGAGGTTGGTGCTGTTCTGGACTGCGTGCTTCTGTCTCTACGTCCGGCGATGCTTGTGCAGCTCTGTATGGTGACCTGTAAGGTGATCTACGTGGTGATGAACGAGGAGGAGATCGTCTAGGTGATCTACGTCTATGGGTTGATCTTCTCGGTGACCTGTGAGGAGAACGTTGATAGCTTCGTGAAGCTCTTGTGTAGTCCCTCAATGTCCTTCTAGATAATGATGATCTGGATTCAGCTGCCCTTCGCGAATGCCTTCGCGAAGCTTCCTCTGCGTCCGGTCCGGGGGAATTACGATAAGACCTTCGCGAAGGCTTTCGTGATGTCTGATGGTCCGAGTCCACATCTTGGGATGAAGGTGACGAGGGTGATGATCTATCCCGCCTTCGCGAAGGCCTTCGCGAAGGCTGTACATCTAGGTCCTTCGTGGAGGTGGTCCGTGCCTTCCTTCGCGAAGGTGACATCGTCCTGGCTGCTACGTTGACGGGGGGTGCCTCTGGGGTGCTGTCTACGTTGGAGCCTTCGCGAAGGCTCGGTCCTTGCTTCTGCAGTCTATATCGGTCTTCCATCATCGTCATAATTTGCTGCATCAGGTCATCAGGGATGGTCTGCGGCGATGTTGTCTGAGCCTTCTCTGCGGTGTTAATGATGGGGTCCACAGCAATAACGTCTGACATCAGTGTAGAGGCATCAGGCTGCATGGAGATCTCTGCTGAAGTCACTGTCGCTGACACCGGTCGCTTCTTGTGCCGTATGTCGGGGATGATAATCGGCTGGTCATCGTAAGAGGCCCATTTCTTCGGCTGGAACGATCTCGGCTGAGAAAGTTCTCGCTGTCTTCGTAGACTTTCCTTTGTCTGGGGAGGCCGGTCGCTTCTTAGAGGTGACGGACTGCGTCCCACGTCCCTCTTCCGATGGGGTCTCTAGCAGAACACCAGACGGTAGGGGGTCGATCGCCAGCAGCTGACTAGATGGAGTATCTGGAGTATCAGCCATATTTAGCCCTTGTTTGCGTGACCTATCTGCAGCACGTCTTAAGACGCAAAGATAATATTTATTAAATGCAGAATTAGATAAATTAATGCAATAACTGCAACGTGAATCAAACGCACACGGCGTAGAACAACTAGGGCATATTACATGCGGATCTGAGGCAGAAAAACGTAATCTACAAATAGTACAGATTTTCATCAACGTAATACTAGCTGAACAATCACGAATACACGTGAATAAACAGTAGAAATACGATAAATAATCAATACAAATTACTGAAGGATACTAGCTATACCTCTATAGTACACTATAAGAGGTAATAAACTAAGAAAAATCAAAGGATATGTTGTGTAAGGAGACACAGGCGCTCTCGCATCCTGCTCACTGGGCGAAGGAGAGAGTGAAGCACGAGGTGTAAGGTGGCGACACCTTTCCCGCCAGAAGGGATTAAAGGGGAGCAACTCGTGGTGAGTACCAATTAGTGATTTTACATTGAAGGGAGCTTCAATTAAGGAGATACAAGTGTTTCCACTATGTTCGCAAGAAGAAGAAGACAAGCAAAAGAGCATGAGTCAGGATAAGGAAAAATTTATAAGCTTGTAAAACGTTATTACTACTACATCTCATACACCATTTAAAAGATCTAATCCCACTGTTGATAAATATGAAGTTTATTTTTATAATATAATTCAAATAATACAACTACAACTTAAATAAATTTATTTTTTAATGAAAAGGCAAGTTTCCATTTATAATGTCCAGATAAGCCACGAAAGAAGCAAAAACTATGGCGATTTTTTTCCATTTGTGACATGTCATAACATGCCCGTGCCTTTTTCTTTCATATTTTCATTTTTACGTAATCAGAAAATTATTATAAAAAGATTTCTTAAATAATATGTATGGTCGCTTATTTCCCGATATCAGTGGCTTTCCGCTCGGTAACAGGACATAACAACGGAAAATACCTTGGTTTTGGAAGCTCCGTATGAATAACATGCAAGGCAAATCGTTTGATGTCGGGCATCGTTAGAAAGCTCTGAACATCAACAATATCACTGTACCCTTGCCAAGAGTATTTTCACAGTTGTAAGAAGCGATTTTATTGGATAAAGATTGGTTTCTAATGACGCTTTTTCGCCACAGTCTGCTATAAGGGTCGTGATTGGTCAAAACCAGACACATGACCTAAGGCAGCCAATCATATTACGGCAATGGATACCGTCCTCGTAAACGAAAAGTTTTAGATTTAGACGAAAGTTTTGGGTAAAATAATGCTATTTTGAACATATTAAGCAAGAAATCGCTACATATACGTAAATTATGGGACTTATTGGACGTATCGTGCTAGGTTATGACCTGTGACAAAAATGCTTCATGCATATTTTTTCGCATTAACCCATTCAACACCGCAGGCCGCTTAAGCGGCCACAACGTTATGAGTCCCCAGACACCGGAGGCCGATTAAGCGGCCAGGCAATAGTCACGTCAAAATGAGACATAATTTTAGTAGCAATAAAGCGTGAAGATTGAGGTGGCGAGAGCCGAGATGTCACTTGTCAGTGACTTGACTTCCATTACATGATCGCACAAAAAGATGGAAATAGTAATTTTATATGTACGTTTGACAACTTTTATGAATGCTGTTGTTGATTTTATTCATTAGTGTATTCAATTTATTTAATAATTTCCTCGAAACATCGTTACTTTGCTTTTTGACAATGTTATTGTGGACCCGCTGCCGAAGCATGTGTCCGAGAATCGTTGTTTTCAATAACATTGAGAAAAATAGTTTATAATTTTAATTCTGCCGATAATATATGATCAATTGAAATTTAATAAGTGTTTTCAGACATTGTGAAATGTGATGGATTTAATATATGAATCATAAGTCAGGTAAGTTCCTAAAATTACGTCTCATTTTGACATGACTACTGCCTGGCCACTTAAGCGGCCTCCGGTGTCTGGGGACTCATAACGTTGTGGCCGCTTAAGCGGCCTGCGGTGTTGAATGGATTAAACTATCTTAACTCTTAAAGAAGTTATAAATTTGTTATACTTCAAATATTAATGAATAACTTTTTGAAATGCAAATCATTTTGTCCTGACCGTTACAAGGACTGTCCAAACCGTTACTTTGCAGAATGGTAACGGTTTGGACAGTAACGGTCAAGACAATTTGTAAGTAAATCTTAAATAAAAAAATGAATGATCCCTAAAAGATTTCAAAGGACATGCCTTTCACCTCTTCCATTCCTGGGCACCATATCCATTGAAATTTAAAAAAAAAAGAGATACATATTTGACACAAAATACACTGGTAACGATCTGGACAGTAAAGGTTGACACATAACATTTATACTTATTTGACAGTGTCAGTTTTCTTCAAAATGTATTGAATCTCTTTATTTCATTTGCTGTCACATCCACAGGGGCTAGCTCAAACAGACACAGGAAGTAGTATTACAATCCAGCTCCAGGGAGATATTATTACAGGAATTTCATACACTGGTAACGGTCAGGACACAGAATCACAGGACAAGCATGTTACAATTTGTAGAAAAAACCTTTTTTAAGTTAAAAATAATTGAAATGCAGTCTGAGTATGCTTGATCAATCCTAATTGGCATAATATGAATTAATTTGTTTATTTGCATTTATATTTACATTATTTGTGAACATTGATATTAGGACCGTCACATCCGGGACGGAGCAAATCTTCCAATTTTGACCCCAAAATGTGGTTAAGTATTAATTTCAAAATGACAAGACTAATGATATACCACATTTACTGACTAGTAAACATCTAAATATGTTTTCTTGAACAAAATAATCCTTTTATACTCACAGATTTTTTTTTTATTCGGAACGGACAGAATATCCTACCAATTTTGAAAATGACCCATATGTACGTTTGACATCTTTTATGAAAGCTGTTGTTGATTTTATTCATTAGTTTATTCAATTTATTTAATGATTTCCTCGAAACATCGTTACTTTGCTCTTTGACAATGTCATTGTGGGACCCGCTGCCGAAGCATGTGTCCGAGATTTGTTTTTTTCAATAACATTGCAAAAAAATAGTTTATAATTCTAATCCTGTCAATAATATATGGTCATTTGAAATTTAATAAGTGTTTTCAGACATTGTGAAAAGTGATAGATTTGATAAATGAATCATATGTTAGTTAGGTTCCTAAAATTATATATCATTTTGATGCAACTACTGCCTGGCCGGTTTACCGGCATACGGTGTCTGGGGAGTCGTGACGTCTTGGCCGGTTTTCCGGCCTACGGAGTTGAATGGGTTAAAGAGACAACATTAAGCAGTGCACCTGAGGCTAAATTCCATAAAAAGCACACTTACCTTAGGTGCCACCTCTGTAAGAATACAGACGTGTGGAGCATCAAAACAGGCACCAACAAATGTTAAGATATTGTTGTGACGTACTTCCTTCATCAAGACCATCTCTAACCTCAGACTTTCATTGTTGATGTCAAGAGAGTCAATGTTGAAATCCTATGAGTGAAAAAGACGAGAATGACTTGCATGAGTATGATGTAGTACCACCTGTCATACATGTATGCTTTCAAAAAGGCATCATGGAGTAGTAATGGTTTTGCTCTGAAGAAAGGCTTTTAAGAGTCTTTAACCATGCATATTTATGCCAGAACACACTGTCCCATTCAAATTTTAAGATACTAACACGGTCCTTCACATAGTCAAGTGTATTTTCAAAAATCATACCTTTCCACTAACATTTAATGTTCATATTCATAGTTTTTTCCCCTGCAGGATAAAGGTAATGGCATGAAAAATTATTGGGATATCTATTACTATTATCAAGTCTGAGATTAGGAAAAGCTGACTGATGGACTGCCAGTTAAAGTCACTGACAAAGTTAAAAAGACTATTTATTGGCAATTTCCTTGGGTCTTTTGGGCTGTATTGACTGTTGGCCCTGTCTAACTCACTACTCACTGACAATATGATGTTATATCTAACAGTATATATTCCATGAAGATATGTTTCCGATAGTTTATAAGAAACACATTATTTGAAAGAGGTTATAACACTTGTGTATTTAAGGATGATAAATATCTTGTGTTATGAATAAAATGATGTGTTTTGTAACTTTCGTTTGACACTGTTTACAAAATACAATGTTTATTCCATATACAGAATGTTTATCATTCCAATACACAAAAATTAATCTCTATTTAAAAATAAAATCTGTTATCTTTATTTAGTAGCTTATGATAGTATATGTTACCTGTTCATGACATTTCTGATGTCTCCATGTAACGACATTACCAGTTACTTTGTCATTAGTATCACTGGCTGTGGAGAGCAGACTGATAGCCCGATCAGCAGCAGTAATTTCATCCCATTTCACCAACCAATCAAGGTTCGCCAGAGACGCCAAACGAGCATGCCTGTCAAAATATGGTATGAATACTGAAAGCATTTACTACTGACTGATCAAACATGACATAAATAGAGAATACTACACGAGGTCTCATTACATACGAAATATACGAAACGAGTGTCTTCCCTATGGTATCTGACCAAGCGAAAGCGAGGTCAGATAACATAGCGAGGTCACGAGTTTTGTATAATGAGTTTTGTAATGAGACCGAGTGTGGTATTTTATTTATTACCCACGTCTTACATGCATTAAATTGACAAAATGGCGTATTTTTGTTATGTTTTTGGTTTCAAACCAAAACCGGTTTCATAAAGAGGTTGCGGAAGAGTTTTGTACTGTAGTGCAATATTTGCATGACTTGTCACTGTAATGACGTCACTGCCTTGGTAACCGACGTCACTATGCATGTCAGTTGTCATCGTCTCGTACAGCCTCCTACAGTAAACTACTCCGTAGCACCTCGTTTCTTGGTTTCCAGTTGCTTCACTCGGCTAACATCACTGGTGGAAACATTGCGTTTATGTTTTTCGATGGATATAATGTCTCAGTTCGACTCACAATTAAACAGCGATAGGCAACGTTCTCAATGTTTACATTCCCACAATGCATTTAAGTTGTAGAAGGAATGAATTCACGTGTTTGTTATGAATGAAACAATAGTTACGTCAGAAAGTGACCTAATTGAGAATTCATCGGTTATCCAATCAAATCGTTAGAATCTCAGGTCAAGTCGTTACGACACAGGTCAACGCAATACGACACTCGTGTGACGGATGAGATTAGTGTGCAACTACCAATACGTTGACCTTGTGGGTAATAAATAGTAATACTATCCTTTTGTGTTCCAATAACACCAACCATAATATGAAAACTGCAGGTGAGATATTGAGTTTGGTTTTACGCTGCTTTTAGCATTATTCCATCAATATCACGGGGAAAGGAGAGAGAGAGAGAGAGAGAGAGAGAGAGAGAGAGAGAGAGAGACACCAGAAATGGGCTTCATACATTGTGCACATGTGGGGAATCGAACCCGGGTCTTCAGCGTGGTGAGCAAATGCCTAAACCACTAAGCTACCCCACGCCCTGACAGACCAAAAGATATAAAGGGTGTCATGATCAGGAAGGTCAAAACATGTCAAAGAATTTATTTTGTTATTGTTTCAATGAATAACTGCTGACTTGCTATTGTATTCCTTACCCAATATTGTATTCATTACCAAATTTAAGGATGTGTAACATTTTTTCTTCATAGTAAGTGGATTCACTGCATTGCAAATTCAAACCAATCAAGGTGACATCATAAACAGAACAAGTGTTTGCTACTAATGTGGCAATGTCCCCCGCCGCTAAAGAAAAATGAAATATTTATAACGTTTTCACTAGTTATTATTTTTGGGTCACATACAAGATTCTTGAAATGACTGGTGTCTGCAAAATCCCCCAATGTAGGCTTTCACCAAATTTGAAGATATTGGGTACATTACAGTCCACGAGATATCGCTTTACATAAGTTTGAACAGTGTTCAAAGTTTCATGGTGACCTTGAAGATAAGGTCACGGTCATCCAAACTGGTGTCTGCACAATCCCCCAATGTAGGCTGTCACCAAATTTGAAGACATTGGGTATAACAGATCATGAACTATTGCGTTAACAAGAATCAGGACGTACAGACGGACGCTGCTGAATACATAGTCCCCCGTTCCACATTGCGGCGGGGGACAATAAATCATGTGGATACACCTGGCCAGGTATTGCAATGCAGAAAAAGACAAGTTTGCAAACTTCAAGAGCAAAATGGGGCCAAGTCTTCACAAAAACAAGATTAACAGAACAAAAGAAATGTCTAAAATTGATTTTACATATGGCTCCATTAACAAAATGATCAAATAGCATTACCTTCTGCTGAGAAATCTGATGAGGAAGAAAAGTCCAACTGCCAAACCTGTCCCAAACATTAATGGCAGAATCACGGCAACAGCCAAGTGCGTGCCACACGTCCCTCCTGTGTAGCCATCATTACACTGACAGGTGTCTGGGGATTTGCAGAACCCATTCGCTCCACAACCAGGGCTGCAAGGGACGTGAAGTAGGCATGCCTGTATACATCACATTCACTGGGAAAACTAAGCATATCCAAAAATCCCTCAAATACCATCTTTTTATCAGTTTTTCCTCCCAACACTGATATGTAAATATAATCTGCCTGTTTACATTTAAAAATGAAGACCCCAGATGGAGTTAGGCTGCTAAAAATGTAATTACTAATGCTTAAAAATAATACCAAATTGGTCCTTACTTGCATATGGCTTCATCACAAAGGGCACCCTGCCATCCAGGGTCACAGATACAAACACTTGGGACATCACATCTGCCATTTTTGCAGGAACAAATCATATTGCTACAATCATCTCCATAGTATCCAGGAAGGCATCTGCAAACAAATACAGACATCATTCCTTATTTGTGCTTAACTGCTGAAAGTTCTAGGTATCATACGTGATTTTTGAGGCGGAAGTCGTAATAAACTACCGGGCAAAATAAAGTCACTGATTTCACTTGACCAAAAAATAGAAACATTTAACATGTATGTGAGATTTATGATAAGTATTTTACAAAACAGAAATCATTTTCCAATAATTTAACTGAAAATTCATTGTAATGCTGGTGTTTGCCACAATTTATTAAGAAAAATTCAAGGGGTCAAAATTACAAATTAAACAAGAAAAAGTCATCAAAATCCCCCTCAACTGTAAAATACTCTTCATGAATATGTCAACTAGTTATAATTATGTCAAATGTTACATTGTTCTTCACATTGATTTAACGAAAACAAAGAGATGTAAAAAGGAAAGGCAAAACAACCCACGTGCAAGTTTCCATGGCAGTGCATGTTCCGTATGTATAGAAATTGATGTCAGCGGGATTTAGCAGAGCCCCTCCACATCCAGAAGAACAGAAGAACGGTGCTACTGCAGGTTCTTCACGAACAAAAGGAACAGGTGTCGCTGTGGAAGGAGGTATTGGGACGATCTTTTGCTCATTTCGAGAAAGCATACCACTTGATGAGTTGTAGCTGTGAACAAGAAGACAAAGTCATCAATATCCCCCTCAACCGCAAAATACTCTTTATGACTATGTCTACTAGTTATGATTATGTCAAATGTTTTGAAGTGTATACAGCAAAGTGGAAGGAGAGTATTGAAAGGTTTTTAAGATCTGCTGAAGAAAGGAGCACTATCACCAAATTCAGTTGAAGCCTAACTTGTTGCCATGGAAATGCAACAAGATGACATCCTCATAGTCACAGCCTAAGTCATGTTTCCATGGAAACCACAAAAACTAAAATTCATATCTGGGTCTAACCCCCAAAAGGCACATCTAGGGATCATGCTTGATATGTGTACCAAGTTTGATGAAGCTAGCATGTATAATTTAGGAGATCTGCTCCGGACAAGATGACATCCTCATAGTAAGGCCTGAGTCATGTTTCCATGGAAACCGCAAAAATAACATTCGCATATGGGTCTAACCCCCAAAAGGCACTTCTAGGGTTCGAATCCCGGATGGGACTCAACCCCAAAACAAACAAAACAGTACTAGAATCTGTACTTTACTGAGAAAGTGTAATCCAAAATAAAACATGTTACATTTGACCACTTTCTAAAAATCGCATTGTGTATTTCAAAATGTCATCAGTCGAGTATTGGAGGTCTTGATATTTTATAGTGTCAAAACACAAATAGACTGGTTATTTGCATGCTACCAAACAGACATGACATGTCTGCCACTGCAACTATAAATCGCCAGCAACTAGTTCAGTTGGTGCCAAACACTCTAAAGTCAGCTACCCAAACTGGCGTTCCGGTATTTTCAATAAATTGTGGCCTTGTATATAGAAAAGTATAAGATGATCTTTCTTCAACACCAGAAGACATCTTACAAGGCTCTGACTCTGGACTGGATGGATAAGTTCATGGCTCAATGGTAATGCCTAGTCTTTACAATTTATGAGAAATACATGCATGGTCAAACTTTGTGACAAGTTGGTTACAACTTGAAATAATAATAATAATAATAAATGGATATTTCCCATGCGCCATAGTCCATCCAGAGCATGCTCAAAGGGCTACATATAAAAAGAGTCACTAGAGTTCAAGAGGAAGATATGACAATTAGCCAAAAATAACCGTGAGAATATTTCGCAGTTATAGGTTGTAGACTTTTTTGAAGAGGAAGGTTTTGAGTCCCGATTTGAATGCTTCTAGGGATGAAGCATTTTTTATGGGAGTAGGAAGACTGTTCCATAGGGTTAGTGCTGCAAATATGAATGACCTATGGCCAAAGTGTTTGAGACGAACTTGGGGAACTGAGAGAAGATGTAATAACACAATGGTAGTACTGGGACGATTGATTGGTTGTTGTTCAACGCCGCACTCAGCAATATTCCAGCTATATGGCGGCAGTCTGTAAATAATCAAGTCTTGACCAGACAATCCAGTGATCAACATCATGAGCATCAATCTACGCAATTGGGATACGGTGACATGTACTGGTGGTACTAGAACGAATGACAGGAATACATATAGTACTTACTATCTTGTGTTCATTTTCGTTGTGTTTGGATATGCAGTCTGTCCAAGTATATAATTATATGGCGGCAAGTAGAGAGGATAAAAGGCCTCCATTACAACTTCTAACTGTTCCGTGGCCTCTTCACTTTGCATCACCATAGTTCGAGTGAAGATAGCTACCTGTAACATTGACCATCTTGAAACATAGAATTTTGTTATACTCATGTTTTTTAACTAGTGTATCACAATATGTATCAAACTTCAGGTTTTACCTGTCTTTTATGCTTACAACAAAATAATATAAATTGTAAAATACTTGCATTTGTGGGCATGACGCCAAACTCTGGGGGTATAGGATTACAATGGACAAGAAATCCTCGATAACCAGGTCTGTTGCCATGAACGTCGAATGATACACCTCCTGTTAACCCAGCAAAAGAAACCTGCAACAAATACAACTTGGACTGAGTGGATATTGACAAAGTTTTAAAATGCACATAGCTTTTAGAGCTACATCCATGCAGGGATTTTGCTGGTGACAAATGTTATGATGGCACTCTCATAGGATATTCTTCTGTACCATCATCAACATCACCAATATTCAAAATATGTGGAGATGCGAATATTTCCTTCCTGCATGATTCGGTATGGTAGCTTAGTGGTTAAAGCATTTGCTTGTCTCATTGAATATCCGGGTTCGATTCTCCATATGGGTACAATGTGTGAAGTCCATTTCTTGAGTCCCCCCGCTATGATATCCATTGGATATTGCTAAAAGCGCACACACAGAAACATATTTAGAGCATCTTTGATAACAATCTGTCAATACCATAGAAAAAAGACATGTAAATACTGCAGGTACTGTAAACGTATTATATTTCGCGCAGGTTTTATTTTCGCGCTTTATTTATTCATTAAGATTTTATTTACTAGTACATCATGAAGCCAATAGTCACTTAACACTCAATCATCTCATTCACAACAACCCGGCTTGTTTGAAATCACAAAGAGCTTCATATACAGTAGAAGTTAATTCGTCAGATCGTCAGAATTCGGGAACATAAGACTGATGTGTTTTTCATCTCTTCCGTGAGTAAACGGATTACTGTGTACTAGTATATCGCACAGATAGAGATTTCCTGTGAGTAAGCAATAAACGCCGCCTGACAGGTTAAGCCACTCTGTTTGTTTACACTGCTATTAGTGGCGGCCAAAGAGATAGCTGGCAGTTCCGGCAATTACTGATTGCGCGAATAATTGACCGCGTGATGTAGTCTAAACTGTCAATTCCGCGAAAATTGCACCACGAGAAAATAAGTACGTTTACAGTAAATGACAAAGATTGACTGAGGTAAACCAATATTCAACATGAGCAATAAATTCAAGCCTTCAGCTTGGATATGTTAAGACAAAATCACCCTCTGAAGGACTGACTGACTGAGTTTGGTTTTACGCCGCTTTTAGCAATATTCCAGCAACATCACGGCGAGGGACACCACACATAGTACCCATGTGGGGATTCGAACCCGGATCTTCGGCGTGACAAGCCAACACTTATCCACTAAGCTACCCCACCGCCCCTCCTCTGAAGGAAGATAGCCATCTGGCTACTATAATGTTATGCTGATGACGATACATCATTATATTCCTGAGCACTTTTGGGTTCTATTATCAATCTATGCTTTTATAAACAAACTATACAGAAACAAACCAATTCACATTAAGCATGAATGTCAGTGTGGACATCCCAGCTGAAATGAGCAGGAAAAGACCATGGTATACCATGGTATACCATGGTATACCATGGTAGACCATGGTTCACAGACCATGGTTGACCATGGTGTATCATGGCTTACCACATCCGGTAAATGGCACCACAGTTTACCATGGTCAAAAGAGACCATGGTCTACCATGGTGAAAAAAAGACCATGGTGTACCATGGTCAAAAGAGACCATGGTATACCATGGTCTACCATGGTCAAAAAAGACCATGGTCTATCATGGTTTAACCACGTGCGGTAAATGGCACCACAGTTTACCATGGTAAGATAAGACCATGGTCTACCATGGTAAAAAGAGACCATGGTGTACCATGGTCAACCATGGTAAAAAGAGACCATGGTATACCATGGTCTACCATGGATTACCATGGTAAAAAGAGACCATGGTGTACCATGGATTACTACTGAAAAAAACTGAGACCATGGTCAGTATACCCTGTTCGGTAGATGGCACAACAGTTTACCATTAGAATACCATTATTTAGACTATGGTAAGAAACCAACTGCGCCATACCACAATATATACATTGTAGTCACATACACCATGGCATAGAGATCAATTAGAATATTGGGTATTGAAGAATTAACATTAAACAAACTCATGCACTGAAAACAAACTGTTCAAATTATGAAGACACATTTTATTGCTGACACTGACAGATTTAAATGAAAGACAACTTGAGGACAGTTGTTGGGAAACTCACAGGGATTGAGGGATATGCTGTGCAACAAGTACAAGTCTAAAGCAAACTAGAATTACATATCCAGTAATGCTGCTAGGGACAAATGGCATGTGGACATGTTCATCATTTTTCAGAGGATATTCTTATCTATTATTATATTCTAAAAACATCTTTAGGGCAGCTTGGATGTCAGTCTATATCCAGGAAAATTAACCAATTCAGAACACCATTTCATGCAGTAATATACAATTTCAGAAAGAGTAATCACTTCAGTCTATATGGTTTTGAAGTAGACATAATAAATGAGAGTCACAACCAACAGAGAAATTACAACAGGGCCCAAAATCATCTACCTGGAAGTTGTACAAGGGGGCATCACAATTTCTCTCAGAAGAAACAGGATATACACAAGTCTGAAGAACCTTCGGAAAGAGCAGTGGTGACATCCCCGAAAATGTCCACGTTGGTTCAGGGATATTGAGTGAGTGAGTTTAGTTTTACACCACTTTTAGCAATGTTCCAGCAATATCACGGTGAGGGACACCAGAAAGGGGCTACACACATTGTACCCATGTGAGGAATCGAACCCAAGTCTTCAGTGTGAAGAGCAAACACTCCGGCACAGGAATAAACTCATCTTGTAGAACTTTATCTTCAGTGTTTCAACATTAGGACCATTTCTTCAGAATCGTCCAGTGGAAATCTGAAAAACACACCAACATTTAATCACAATCATTCTATTTCAAACAGTCTTAAGCAAATATCAAAAAAGTGTTGTTGTTTTTTAAATATATATTTACAGTTGCTCAAAATGTTATGTATTTTTAACATATTGCAAATATTTTTCACCAGACTCTAATTATATTATTCAAAATAATTTCATTACACTGATGGCAGATGACTTTAAATTATTTTTGTAATATGAAGAGTCTATGCCAAGTAACACAACATGTATTAGAAATTAAAACACAAAATTGGCTTCTAAATCACTAGTCTACATTCATGACAAAATATAATATTCTGAAATGTTTACATTTCCCATAATTTATAATAATCAACATATCATAACATAGAAAAACGTATCTTACTGTAAGTGAACCTATTTCCACGTTAGTGAATAGCTAAACGTTTTGGCACAGTCATTTTTGGTTTACAGTCAGTAGTTATTCCAAAACTGAATACAAATACGATAGAAAAGAAAATGAAATATCCATAAACGTGCCTGTAGCAATTATCTCCCTTTTTATGACCCTTTGAATTTATTTTGCTGTCTGTGTAATCTAAGCAAACAAACTGAATCTTTCAGGCTGACCTCTACAAGCCCCGTGAACTTTGACACCATTCGATCACTGATAACTTAACTAAAAAAAGTCATAACGGTTTTGTTTTTTTTAAAAGTACCGTTGGACAATGGTCGTGTGTTAACAAAGATATGTAGAACATATTGCACAAAACCCAAATTAACACTGACTTTCCGTTTGAGGGATGTACATTGTATATAAAATGAACACTGCTATATCTTATATCGCTTCTTCCGTCATTCTCCTCAAAACTGTTGTTTACCACGTCACATACGTTCAGATATGTGCGTATTCCCGAACATCAAAACAATTTCAATATATCTGCACTCAAAACAATTTCAATATTGCTGTTATTTACTTACCGCTCATGCTTATGTCCACTGGAATTCAACTTGAGATGTATCCATCGGCACTAAATCTAGTCTATTCCTTTTTCATGAGTTCTTGACATATCCATCGCTGGATTATCCTCGAAATCCGTCATTGCTAATATATTAGGGATATTCTTCGCTTGGATCGTTGTAGTCTATTGCCAGTGTTGACAAAGTTGTGTTTCGCGCTATCACTGGTTTTATGCTACCACAAATGTCTACGTGACAAGTAGCAGCTATGGCATCGGTCGCGTGCCGGAAACGGTCGCGTGTCTCCGTGTCATTACTATCTCCATTCGGCTTGTCCCGAATGGCGCCGAGTTGGAAGTTGAAACATATTTTTAGAAAGAGAAAATTAATTAGTACCGACCAGGGATGTATCGTAACTATGTATGTAAAAGGCTGTATGATTAGTGCTATCCGTTCTTGAAGTCGCAAATAAGATTACGTAAGCCGCGAAGGGCGTGGCGTGTTTGCAATCACGCGATCGAGGTTCTTCATAACAACACTCGTGAGTCAACAGTGGATAATTTCTCATCTTATTAACAAATAAAGGCAAGAATTACAATATCAAGGCATCAACATCAAAATTAGAATTCATAAACAATAATATTGTCAACGGGCGGAATCGCGAAAAAGATATTCAGCGTACACGTTCCTTCGTCGATCATAACGTGGAAGAATAGTTTTGCACATATCCCGGCAATAATTTAAATTTCATTAATCTACTTTGATGTTATCTCTTCCGGTCATATTGCACGTGCTGAACAGGAAGTGACAGTGAAATGTGTTCTAAAATCGGAGCTTCACCATTAACATTGCGAAAGACGTACTTATAACAAGTATGGCACGCTTTGCCGATCGTGATCACTCAGGAGAAATTCAATGAAATGAGACGATTTTGACATTGGACTTTCAAATTTTATTTTATGGAGTAAATATGAAAAAGAAAGAGAATTAAAATCTTCCAGCACTAATTGGTTACGCTGTTATTGACAGAAGGTAAGTTTTACGCAGAACTGTCTATGTTTCTAAAACGGATCGTGTTAGGCACAGAATATTGTTTCGCCTTCTGTCGTGCATTGTTTATGTTGTTGCTGTATGTTTTGAAAAATCAAAAACTAAAGGCAACCAGGCACAAAAACTAGTAAGACCACGAGAGACGGGGTTTACACAGTTTAATGGACAACTTTAGCAAAGGGGACGGGCAAAATTATTTTATTTTCAAATGTACGGAGGGTTAATTTTGTTTTGATTTTCAAGTGTATAAGTCGTCCTTTGTTCCTTATTTGTTTGTGTGTTTCTGTAGCAACAATGAGAAAGTTAAATTACGTGAACTGTTCCCGTTGATAATTGTTTTTTATGAGATTGTGTTCTTGTATTTTTCATTAAAACACACTTCATTTTAACTTGTCTCTCACCGAGTGAAGTGTTCAATTTTAGTTGTTTAATGCACACAGACGTAAAAACAAGGATCTGTAAGGTATCTGTCATGAACATTCATTAAAGGCAAACTAACTCAGGAAAAACATTTTCATCTGAGATGTTTTACACACGTCCTTTGTAATGCTTTTAGTATAATGCCTGTGTAACACTTGATTGAATGCTCCCGCTATTTTGTTATTCATAAATGAAACACAATGTCATGAAACAGTCAGGATTTCAATTTAAATTTTTTTATTTATCACAGTTTGAAATGTAAAATTGGTCTGTCATGACCATGGTCTACCATAGATTTGTCTGTGATGACCATGGTCAACCATTACTTTGTATGAGAACAACACCATGGTCTACCATAGTTTTGTTTAAGATGACCATGGTCTACCCTGGTTTCTGGTGACCATGGTCTAGAATGACCATGGTCTGCTGTGGTATACCATGGGGAGCATGGTCTACCATGGTATACCATGGGGAGAAATGTTGGTGACCATGGTCTACCATGGTTTCTGGTGACCATGGTCTATAATGACCATGGTCTGCTGTGGTATACCATGGTGACCATGGTCTACCATGGTCTACCATGGGGAGAAATGTTAGTGACCACGGTTTAGCATGGTAAACCATGGTAATACCATGGTTTTCCGTGGTAAGCCATGGTTGACCATGGTCAACCATGGTGCCTTTTCAGCTGGGATACACAGCATACTCTTGTTTAAACTAAACGTCTCTAGAGATTTGACAAAAGGGGTGGATATTAAAACCATAGACAGGTACAATTTCATCAACTTGCAGTGAACAAACTATTTTCAAACATCAATGAAAGAAATTATTTTAGACTAATTACTAGCCAGTTTTGTGCCCCCTTAATAAATTTTGAATTGGTCTTATGCACTTGAACATATGGACTGTCAAAGAGAGATTCAGTATTAGTGTGGGTAATTAATAGTGTTGGGAATTGGAATCTCATAATTGATGATTGGTTCATTACAACCGATCAGTCATCGAAAATAATTGGTTTGCGTCATTTATCAAATGTTCCTGTTATCTTTGTTGATGCACACACAAAAAATAAAGAACAAGAAGACAAAGTCATCAATATCCCCCGCAATGGCAAAATACGCTTCATGATTATGTCTACGAGTTATGATTATGTCAAATATTTACGAGTTATGATTATGTCAAATATTTAGGTGTGTATATAGAAAGGTGGAAGGAGAGTATTGAAAGGTTTTTAAAGTTCTGCTCCAGAAAGGAGCACTATCACCAATTTCAGGCTAAGTCAAACTTGTTGCCATGGAAATGCCAAAAATATTTTATTCAGAATTCCAAAACTACCAAAAGGCACAAATACACCACCAGATCTATCTATGTGCCAAGTCTGGTGAAGAAACATTCAACGGTTTTAGAGTTCTGCTCCGGAAAAGAGTCCTACCACCAATTTCAGGCTAAGTCAAACTTGTTGCCATGGAAACGCCAAAAATATTTTATTCAGAATTCCAAAACTACCAAAAGGCACCAGTTCACCACCAGATCTATCTATGTGCCAAGTTTGGTGAAGAAACATTGAACGGTTCTAGAGTTATGCTCCGGAAAAGACAAACGCTTTGCGGGGGATAAAAAACATGTACCGGTAGTAATTTGGGTCTTTTGCACATTGCACAAAATCCATTGGCAAATTTCACATATTTAAAGGCTGATTAGTATGTTAGGAACACAGATTTCCTGGATTCTTTAAGATAAATTCAATCGTGACTTGGAACGAGCTTGTAGTGCTTATGAAATGAAAATTTAATGACACAGACAAAACCAACCTTGTGTAAAATATGGTTGATGCAAACAAGTGTTCCAAAATTGGTTGTGTTCGATTATGAGAAAACACAATCGATTGCTTTGTCGTTTAGGCACTGCGACCAATCTTTGATTATTTCAATTAATCGGACCACCACTATTAATCAAAAGAGATAAATAACAGGTTGGTCTAGAAGTCCTGAGGGGTTCAAACAGGAAAACTAATACAGCGTTTATGGAATGTCATAACATGAAATGAGAAGAAAAGACGAGTAGCTATCCCGTTTGTCAGTTATTTGTTGAATTGACTTGAATGTACCATTCTGCAATATCTGTGCAAAGAATTGAATCTTGACCAAATAACCTTGTGATCAGCATCATGAGTAATGACCTTAAATAAAGTGAAAAGTTTTTCTCTGATTCTTACATTTCTCACTGCCAGTGCAATTTTGTCTCCAGTGATTGTTTGTCTTTGGTCAATCAGGTTGGTCATTGCTGTTGCCATTGTCCTGACGGCATCATAGCCCAAAGCAAACTCTGCTCCCACCTAAAAGAAAACATGGAATACATTTGTAAGTATTGATTAGTTAATAAAATAAAGTCACCTTCCTTCTGACATATATTTGGTTGTTTGGTTTGTTGCTTACCACTGCACAATATTCCACCTATATGGCAGTGGTCTGTAAATAATCCGAGTCTGTACCAGACAATCCAGTGATCAACAGCATGAGCATCCATCTACGCAACTGGGATACAATGTGTCAACCAAGCCAGCAAGCCTGACCACTCGATCCCGTTAGTCACTTTTTACGACAAGCATGGGTTACTGAAGACCAATTCTAACCAGGATGAATGCCAGTTGAATACAACCAGTTGAATGGTGTGAATGCCCCTCATGTCATTGAAATCTCCACATTGGTGGTGAATGAATATTTACCTCATGGATGACATATTTGACCGGCCGTGGTATATAGATCGGTCACTGTACATGTGATAACCCATGACTCTCAACCAGTCGTCAGATGTATAGGCTGTCAAATCATACGTTGAAGCAAATCCATGTGTTCCTCTGTATGCTACAGTACAGATTGGCATCTGGAAAACCGAACATAAGTTTCAACAAGACCCATCAGAACACGACAACAACTCACCTTACATCTAATCTGCTGCAATTTGGAGGGGTTTTGTTAGATGTACCGTAGAAAAGCCGAATTTTGAGGACAAAAAAAGCAGTCTGTGGAAGGGGGTCGGCTTATCTATGAGATATAATTTCACGAAAGTATTTTTTTTCAGTTCGTCAGTGCCCTGTCAGGACGATCTTACATGTTAGCGGTACACCTGCCTGGAATAGCACTGGAAGTTTACGACGATTACAGCCACTTTGTTATAAATGATCAATAAAATACATATTAAAGTATTGAGTTTAATTTTATATTAATTAAATATTAAATTTATTAAGTTTTGTACCTACCTATTTACACACAAAAAATCCACAAAAAAGAGAAGTTATAATCCTGTCCGGTCGCCATTTGACATGTGCCAATGCGATCAGCTGTTTCCTGTGACATCACATACGGTGAGTACAGCCACATTGTTATAAATGATCAATAAGATACATATTAAAGTATACAGTTTTCGTTATTCCAAAATATTGTGCTCTTATTCGTTCTTAAGTTTCGTACCTACCTATTTACACACAATAAATCCACAAAAAAGAAGTCATAAACATGTCCTGACACGTGCCAATGTTTGATGAGTAAATGATGTATTTTCAGAATGTTTTATAGTTTATACAGTATGAATGTATTAACGTATTATTGTGTTCTGGAGATGTTGTATCAAGGAAATTGGTGAGTTACCAGGTAATACACATAGGTATAAAAGTGTGCCTAACATCTGGAAATGACAGTCTCATCATGAGTTCTAAAAGAAAACGTCACATCTACGATGCTGCCTTCAAGTTGCTTCAGAAAAGAAATCCACCTCTTTTTGAGACCAAGTCCAGATAGTTTCCATGGATATCAAGAAAACTAAATATGCCAAGAATCTGTAAATAGGTTCAGTTTGAAATACCTACCAAATTTTTTTGAATTTTTTTTTGACTTGTGCTACGGTTACAAAATGATTATGGACGGAGAAAGCATTATATGTCAAGGGCATAAATATACTTGCAATAAAATAAGCAGTTATTTCTTTGTTTATCAAGGAATTCAGTTTTCTAACAAAGCAATGAGGGCAAATTAATGATAAACCTTAACTCAAATGTGCCTTTATTAAAAACATTATCCCACATTGGTAATAATAATCCCTTTTCTCTTACCATCATACATTCCGCATGCTGGTTCCCCCAGGGGAATTGCCAAATAAAGATGCCAATGAAGACCCATTGGTATCCATGCAAGGCGGACATTCCATAGCTAGAAATCAAGACGGTTTGAACATGTATAACTATTTTGAACCCGACCTGAATTATATCTTTGCCATAAATTCTGGTTCAGATGTCTGGTCTCAAATGATGAAATGTTACTTCTTCCATCTTATGAGCATGTATTGTCAACTCACAATTTGGTTTGTTTTTGAATATGAAAACTACTGAATGGCTGCTACTATGGATATAAGGGATGTCTACTGGCAAACAAGGATAAGTTGAGCACCGACCTGACAAATGACCCGTATTAGCATGTATGAGTGCTGCCCACTGGCACTTGCGATTGTGAGCGAAGGGGCCCAAGGTTGTCCGTGATCAAGTGTAGTGCTACACCGACCACGTGAGAGTCTTATGAGCAAGGCCTGTGCAGCTACGAGCGGAATCAATTTCATCGACATGCACTGCACGTGCACTAGCCTACATCTGCGTCGGTCCAACTTATCCTTGTTTGCCAGTAAATGAAACATGCTCTTGCACATCTAGCTTTGATGAGGATACCCATTAAGAGGAAAGAATTTATCACACAGGATTAATCTTGCCATTGAAATGATCACAATCGGTTGGGGGTTCTACACTCCCGATTTCCTAGTACCCAAAAAGACAACATAATTATGACTATTTTGTCACACATAATCACACTCAATAACAAGGAAAACAATCTAAGGACCATGTTGTAATTGCTAAATCAGAACATCATTATTCCTCTAAGGAAGTTACTAATCAAAGTACTAAACAATATCTGTATTATCATCTGAGAACACTTGGGACATGTACACTCTTTTACAATTATTTATCTGTAATCATCTTGTAACTTGATACCTACTTGTAAGCTTCTCTCAAGACATGGTAGATAAGTGGAGCTGTGACATATGAAAAGATGATTCTTGTTCCTAAGTTTTTCACCTTTTCCATCGTAGTGTCAAGGTCATTTCTTACCCAATCCTCAGGCCTTAACTGTGGCACTACAACCTGAGAAACAAAGAACACTGATGAGCATTGTAGCTAATACCAGAGATGCCAACTCTATTTTGGGCCTAAGTGTAATACTAGAGGTCAGAAAGTGTAATTTGGACCTAAAAAGTGTAATACTTGTCTGCCGATCACTTCAACATGGTACACGTTTTCACGAAAGGAAGATTCTAGACAGAAACACATATGACCAATCATTATGAAGCTCCATATATCGAAAATTGTTGGTCAGGTGACTCAAAATACTTTAATTCCTTGCAAGTTAATTGGAATGAGTGTGATGCTAAGACTAAGCGATTCCTATCGGTGCAAGGCCATTTCTGCACCCCTGCAGCTGTGCGTTACGAAACACTTCCCCTGTGAAAATTTATCCACTATATTGATTTTCGTAAAACAAGTAGAAAAGCGTAATTTTCGCAGAATAAGTGTAATGTCGTAATTTAATGGTCAATATCATGGCGGGGGACACCAGAAATGGGCTTCACACATTGTACCCATGTGAGGAATCGAACCCAGGTCTTCGGCGTGACGAGCGAACGCTTTAACCACTAGGCTACCCCACCGCCCCATTTGTCATGAAAACAACAAATTTAATGGCTGACCTGTATTGACTTCATCATACTTGATTGTCCTGTTCAGATTTCATGTTTCGTTACTTAGTGTGTAGCATTATTTGCATGATAGATCAGTTGTCATGATGAAGTATTTCACACGCAATATCAGAGAGCATTGTGAACTCTTAATGGAAAATATTTGTTACATGTAACGATTACAGGCGTGGAGGAGTTTACAAACTGAATGAACATGAAGACCAAATATCAAGGGTTGTACACAAACATTCCTTCACCAAATATGGACTGCACAGACAAGTTTTTTGAAAATCGAAGCAACTGGAGTGAACACCTAAGTAAAGTAGTCCTAGCAGAATAGTTTTGAGAAACTCCTTGAGGTGATCTATGGGCTGAATCAGACTAATCAGCCGATGGAGCAGCTTCTCTCCTGTCCAGAGTGATTATAAGACCAAGATGATTGGTTTGGTTTGGTTTGGTTATTGTTCAACGACACTCAGCAATATTCTGTCTATATGGCGGCAGTCAATAAATAATCTAGTCTGGACCAGACAATCTAGTGATCAACATCATGAGCATCGTTCTACACAATTGGGGTACGATGCCATGTGTCAACCAAGTCAGCAAGTCTGACCAACCAATACCGTTAGTCGCTTCTTACAACAGCATGGGTTACTGAAGAACAATTCTATTGCGGATCTTCACGGGAGAGTACCAAGGTGAGGTCTTGCCTGAAAACATTTCTTTGCACAACCCAAACCTGTCTTCAGGAAGAGGAAAGGAATCACCCAGGGGGCTGACAATCAGAGGAGGCTGACAAAGTAGTAAAGGACGGACCCAGGGGTTATTTTTCAGACTGGATATTTTTTATTTATTTTTTATATAATTATTTCTCAGACTGAAGGCCATGATTGTCTTTATTCAGCTATTCCTTTCGTAAACTTGAGGCAAAATAATGTTTTTTATTTCAGCATTTGCTGAACAAATTCAAATTTTGCTTTTTCTCTCAATCTATACTGCACAGCTCCAGATAAGAGTTAGCTCATGTGGGTACTGTACCCACTGTATTTTTTGGGAGTGGGTATTATGAATGTTGAGTGGGTATTTCATTTTCCGTTACCCACTGCCTTTAAATACGTGCGTATTTCAGTCATTTTACTCACCTAAGTCTTATGTCATTGAGTAAGTTTACTAAGCAGGTATGTTCTGCCTTATGTCATACCTAATAAAAACCAACTTAAATATAATTGAAATGATTTCATAAAAAAACACTGATCCTGTACTGACAGTACAACACTTGTCCTATCGTAACAGTACAACTTGATAGCAATCGATGTCTTTTACATTACGCAAGCGATTTTTATAAATATATTCCGTACGCATTTGTTTTAAACTTTTTGCATATCTAACATATGTAATGCGTAACTGGTACGCAACAATTATTTTTTCAATGCGTAATTGGAAATTTTCTCTGTGTATTTTACCCAGATACTCAGCATATCTGGGCCTCTGTTATACTGGAAGAATATTTGAACATTTTCTAAATTGAGATCAGAGCTAAAGACTTTTGTTGTAAATACTGGTCTCTGTTCTTTTTTCACCTGGAGATGAGAACAATGTTATTAGGAGTGAAAACACATGCATACATAATATTTACCTCTCCCATGATTTTTATTCCATTGCTTTGAGCTTTGTCATAGATGATATTGTTAAGTTCATATCCTGCAGATCGTATAATCAACTGAAATGCAAAATGAAAAAAGTGATGGCCAGTTTTGAGATCATAAAGATGGAATATATAAATTAAAAAGTTCTTACAAGTTGACAGCATCTTTAGCCTCAGGGCACAATCATTTCATTTTTAAAACATCATATCAGAATCTTACATATTTTGCAATGATTCTAACAAAAAGTGCTGTTTTGATGTTTGTATTCATATAATGTAATGATACTTACAATATGGGTCCATTTTCTTGATTTGGCAGCAAGAAACACACTGTGAATTGCGGCGCCGTCGTTCCAAGCCAGTCTGTTGTAGTACGGGTATAATGACTGGTTGGCAACAAGACAGGCAGTCAGACATTGGAAAGGCAAATACAGGTTTTTTTAATGCCCTGAACAAACTTGACCTTCTTTGTGGTAACAAACATACACCCTTCAGCTGAATCTATCAAGTCATGCTTGTTATGCAAGGCAAATTATGTATTGCTTGGTCAGGCTTTGTGATCACAGACTCAGACAATGAAGATTCCAAATATTCTTTGCAATATGTTTTTCAGTCACTGGTTTGTAAGTTGCAGACCTAAGCTTCTAATTCATGCTCCCCCAAAAAGTAAATGTTCCCATATACAGCAAGCAGCAAAGTTTAAGTAGTAAAATTAGGAAACATTGCGCTGGCATTAAAATGTTTTCTGACATTTAACTGCCCTGGCATTCAAAGTACCAATTTTTGCTGCTAAATTTGGAACTTAAAGTAACAACACAATGTTCACAGACCAAGGGTGGAAGGAATCTTGTATGTGTCAGATTTGTTGTTACCTTGTCCCCAAATTCAATCTTGGTTTCCCTGGTGGATATAACAGGCATCTTGTCACCATTGAGAAGAGGAGTAATACCCTGGGTCAGTTTGTTGTGTCCAAATCCAATTATTCCTCTCACCATTTCATTTGGATTGGCCTAATGAAAAGAAAAACACAAAAAAGAAGTAAGAATTATATGAATGATCAAATGTGAGTCAAAACGATAGGTTCATAATTGGTCTTATCAATTTCTGGAGCCTTAAAAGAGATAGAGACACATACATGAAGACCTGCCCAAAAAAAACAAAGTGCCATCATGCTTTTCCATGGACCAAGTCTGTTTCAGAGATCCTTTGTTTGTAATGCTTGGTTATATTGAGTGGTTTCAAACAGCAATTTTTATGTGTTTGAATAATATATACTTGCCATAACCATTGAAATTCTAAAATAAGTCCGCAGGGTTTATTCTTAGTTACCTTCCTCATGTCCTGTACTTCAGTCACCAACATCAAAGTTTGAAGTGATTGTGATTTCTTGTCAATATTTATTGAATGAATATGAAATAGAAATCATCCGCAGCGTTTGGTTTTGTTCTGTCCCTGAACTTATAATATCCATGCAATAGTGTTTCAGATTGTTTCTGATCTCAAAATTTGGAATTATACAATATATCATGATACTTATCACAATACAGCCTTGTGTATATACACTTGGAACTTCCAATACCTATCCCGACCCAAAACTTACGTTATGAATACAATCACGATCAACTCTGAAAACCAATTAAAAAAAGATGTAGAACATATAGACATATTACCTTTCCAGCATCAATCATTTGTCTGTACGTGCTGACAGTAGAGGTGATGTCATTCCAAGTATTAAATGGCTGCAGATGTAGAGTTCGATCTGCGAACAGGAGTTTTAGTGTAGTGAGTTAATGTATCATTGTAACCAAAGTTTCATAATGTCAATTACTATATCAGTGTTCACGAATAGTGTTTCAAAGTAACAGGACATTGGGTCCTGTAGGTTTCAGGTGTCTGTCTGACCCACTGAAAATTCACAGTGCCCATAGAATAAAAATTTAACATTTCTTATAATTGGCATTGACATTATAAAGAGCAAACAAGTGTGACATGTCACATATAACAACTTCAGTCAAAGTCATTGTGAAATACAGTCGTACACTGGAGCCGGTGGGTTGTAGACTTCCATCAGACTGTCAGCATATCGAGGGTCTGACACTATTTGTGAACACAAACCACCATCATCAGACTGGAAAATTTATTTTAAAGTACAAGTCATACACATCCAACGAGATTTTCATTGTTGGGTTCAACAATACTTCCAGTGACAAACAACGTTACATTCCTTTTCGAATGGTCCCATGGTTGTCAGTTGACAGTAAGAAACCGATAACCCATGCAGGAATAACAACTTTCCGATCTAACCATCCCCAAATTAGCCAACTATTATGACTGTCAACAGCTGTGACAGCAACTCATGGTTGTACACCTGGTCCAGTCTAGTAAAGTCATATTTGGCGGTCATGCAATTTGGAACAAGAACTGGTTGTTGAATATACGCTTGTCACCGGAAATCTGGTAATTGAAGTAAGCTGGGTTCAGTCTTCTGTCGCAAGTTGGCGTTCGCAAAGGGAGCCGGGAACCAGCTTAATACCGGAAGTAGCGCCTCATGAGACATACAGGCCCTATTGATAGGCGTCCCCTGGACATCTACTTTTATACATCAAGGTAAAACCCTGCGACAGCGTAAACCAAAGCCCAGCAACACTTCATGAATTGGCTCAAACACTGTAGGAGGAATGGAGAAGGCTCCCAAGGCCAGAATTCAGAAACTAATTCAATCAAGGCCTTGACATTTCAGTATGTTTATGCAAGCACATGGCAGTGCTTCAGCCAGAATGTTTTTGAGTGTTGCCAACTGGCATCTTAACTATTAAAATGTGTGCCAATGCAGTTGAGACTTTTGCCATTCATGGTAACCATGGTATAAAAGACCTGTGGATTATATTAAATGTTGCGCCAATGGGCTCTCTAGCATTGAAAAAAGTGCCATTGCATATTTTTTAGTGTGAATGGCGCAATGGCACAGATATTGAGTATGATTTAACCACTGACCATCTGCACATAATCCATGAGTTATGAAATCCAGAACATCATACAGACAAACTTTGTCATTCCAAATAGGTGAATGTCATGTTTAACAGAACAGTAGTTTATTCCCTGAACAATAACAGTTGATTTGTTCAGCTATGTGTCTAGTTTTTAGCTGGAGAGTAAAGAATGACATATTACAGACAATGCATTTTGTCAACTCACTTATAAGTATTCCTGTGAAGACATCATTGTTGATATCGTTAACTGCAAACTGAATGAAAGATTCCACATGAGGCTGCACATCTGAGCTAGATCCTGAGTGGTAGTTGTCTATGTAGGATGCGATGTGGATGTCAGCTGAAACAAAACAGATAAAACTAAATTAGTATACAATAACAAACATGCTGATGTTTGGAACTAATATACATGTGACTGCTTCAAAAATAACAAGTCAAAATATGACTTACACTTTACAATCATCAACAAATAAATCTTTCTTTTCAAAGAAATTAATAAAATGTTTAACAATTTTGATACAATTTGATATCTAGCTCCCATAGAAATAATGAATGTCATTTAATGGTATTCTGGAGTCTGGACCAGACAATCCAGTGATCGACAGCATGAGCATCATTCTGAGCAATTAGGATACAATAACATGTGTCAACCAAGTCACTGAGCCTGACCACCCGATCCCATTAGTCGCCTCTTACGACAAGCATGGGTTGCTGATGACTAATTCTCACCCGGCTGTATTGCAGCAACAGACATGATAGAAATTTTCACTCATCCTGAAGCCCAATTGCTCAAATTAAGATATCTTAGAGAAAAGTTAAAATTAGTATAATTCAAGGGTTTTGCTACAAGTTATCATTCTAAGAACCAGTTGACTGAAAACAGTTTTATTGCTATATCATGGTAGGCAGTAAAAGTCCTGACTGGATACACCAGCTCTACACAGTAATAAGGACCAGACAAACAGATGATTGACATTATATCCCATGACATTTGGGTACAATGACAATCATGACAGGCAATCAACAAAGTGTACGGGTCAGCACATGTTCCTGTAGATGTTTTCAAACCTGGCATTGATACATATCACTATACCCATTTCACGATTCGATACATATCACCATACCTATTTTCGCGGCATTATTGTGTAAGTTTAGTTACATTTTGAACATTAATATTTCATATTTTATAATTGTCCATGAAAAGATCAACATTTTTATTTTCAGAGAATAAAAAGTTCTAATTTACCATCTTTGTGCATGAAAAATAATCATTTATATCTCTCATAACATGAAAAAACTTGATACAATTGCAAAATGTAAATGATACATATCTAAACTGATACTTTCAAAACTAAATATCGATACAGTTTTGAATGGTATCGAACATTTTATTTTAGAAAAAGTATTATGCATCTATGTATCGTGGCATCCCTACTGAGTGTGGCGTTAAACAACAAACCAATGAAATTATTTTTTTAGTTTCAAACTTAACACTTACAAGTGATGGTCAAACATGGAGTTGCTGCCGAAGTCAAGGTAGTGGTAGCTGCTGTGGTCACAGTAAACTTCAGAGTTACTCCAGTGATGGCTTCACATACAGATCCAACAAATGTGCCCTGGCCGTCAGTTGTCTGGAAGTTAGCATCTACTGACAAACATGCACTTGATGGTGTAGCCACTGTAGTCACGGACTGCAAAGGAGAGAAAAAAAACAATTGCAGAACAAAAACCAATTTCAAGCCATATTACTGGCCAGACATGTATCTAAATCTTTGTGTAAAGAAATTACCATACACTTTTAGCGTGGATCTCAGTGTTCACGAATAGCATCTGACCCTCTGACAAATCCAGCAGATTCGCCAACGGTCCGATACAAGTCTACAACCTGCCTGCCCCAGTGTCTGACTGTATATTTCACAATGACTTTGACTGAAGTTGTTATATGTGACATGTGACACATGTTTGCTGCTCATAAATCTTATGTTTGTTAATAATTTCAATACCAATTATAAGAAATGTTCAATCTGAAATGTATGTTTAATTTTATTCTATGGGTCCTGTGAATTTTCTGTCCTGTTTGGTTTGTTTGTTATTAAATGCCACATTCAGCAATATTCAAGCATATGACGGCGGTCAATAAATAATCGAGTCAGGACTAGACTTTCCAGTGATTGACATCATATGCATCAATCAACACAATTGGGATACGATGACATTGTCAACCAAGTCAGCGAGCCTGACCGACCGATCCTGTTAGTCGCCTCTTACGACAATCAAAGGTTCCTGAACATCAGTTCTAACTTGTCTCTTACGGGGGTTCAATATTTAAGGAGCAACACAATTTCAGAAGGATGCAGGGAAGAATGAAAGCAAGGCTTCAATCACAAAGTGTATTATACTGTCTATTCCATGTACTGTTTTACAGAAATGTCTATTTCAAACACTGTTTTAGGCCAAAAATATATATATGTCCGTTTCCTATTACATGCTTTTTAAATATAGAGTAGGTGGGTCGGTATTTTTTACTTTTTTAAAAATATTTTTTAGTAGCACCGGTAGGGCACCTGAGAAGGTCTTCAAGAGTACCATATCATCTTGTTACAATGCCTTGTGATAAAACATTGAAAGATTTCTACATCAAATCATTATTAATGTTATTCATTTGCAGGTTTTGTCAGTGAGAGCCCATTATGCCAATTCAATGCAATCCATTTTAACCCTACATACACTGAAAAACTTGAAAATATCATACTCAATTTGGATGAAAATGATGAGTTGAAATACTCCTCAGACAAAATTTAGGGTTGCGGCGTGGGGGTGGTGGTGGTTTAGGGTAGGGTGGGTCGGGTTACTGGAAACAGACATTTTTTTGGTTGGGGTCTTACAGAAATGTCTGTTTCAAGCTGTGTTTTATGGCAAATATATGTGCTGCAGGGTTTTTTTTTCCAATGTGACATGTTGGTCCTATAATACATTTAATAACTTCATTAATAATTGTGAATAGTGACTTCAGCATAAATCAGGCGTGAACATGAGTCAAATCACACCATTTACTGTTATCAACAGCAAACATGTCTATTTATACCTTGAAACAATCCTTTCATGCATCAGAGAATGACGACATTTCGTACTTAACTGTTACAAGTCAAACAAGCATTGTCACTAAGGTGACATAATCCCCCGCCGCAAATTATCAACTCAAACTTAAAAAAGTAATGAAAGTGAAGGTTGTAATTTAAGATGTAGTTAAATGTCAACAAAAACATGACCAGTCAACCTATCTTGATATTTTGCTCTGCACAAATATTTTCAAGACTCACTTTGACCTTGACATGAATATGTCTTAGTGTATGAAATATGCAAAAATAGTAATAAACAAATTGACCCTGAAATTTAAGTGAAGGTCACCAAAATCGACTGGAACTTGCACCTTCCCTAGATAAAGCTTAGTGTTGAATATGAAGAAAATCCAGTGAATGGTTCTTGAGATATCTCGTTGACAATCTTTACATGCAGGTTAACATGCTGAAGTTTTCAAAGTGTCGCCGTGACCTTGAAAATTAAGTGAAGGTCACCAAAATCCACTGGGCCTTGCACCTTCCCCAGATGTAGCTTGGTGTCAAATATGAAGAAAGTCCAGTGAATGGTTCTTGAGATATCTCGCTGACAATCTTTACATGCAGGTTAACATGCTGAAGTCTTCAAAGTGTCGCCGTGACCTTGAAAATTAAGTGAAGGTAACCAAAATCGACTGGGCCCTGCAACTTCCCTAGATAAAGCTTAGTGTTGAATATGATGAAAATCCAGTGAATGGTTCTTGAGATATCCTGATGACAAGGGTAAAACGTTAAAGTCCCCTTGTGACCTTGAAATGAAGGTTTCTTTTACTGTGATGAACCTAGGTACCAAATATGAAAAGAATCCAGTCAACGGTTCTTAAGATATTCCAATTCGTATGTTTAGCTTCATGAGATATGCCTTGTCAAACTGTTTCATATGTAAGAGCAAACATACAAACATTCTGCATTTATAGGGTATTTTTTTCTTTTTGACATATTTGTCGAAGCAACAACTAAAATAACAAGCTCTGAGATTATAATATTCCTTGTAGAACAATAGTTGAAGATTTCATTTCTCTTGATAACTGCATTCAAATCAATTTTTTTTAAAGTTATTATACTTAGTACTGGATAGGGTACTACTGGGTACTGATTTATTGGCAGCTGTTTTTTCTATTAGACAATACGTTTATACAAGAGGTAGAAAAGTCAACAAGCACAATGTCTGCAAAACTCAATAAAGTTACATGAATTCAATAGAACTTAGTGTTTTTTATGAAGACAATTACCAGCTGAGATTACAAGATATACGAGAAGTTTACAAGAGTCTGATTCTGACTGAGCTGTGACAAGTAGAATGGTAGAATATGGTCAACAAAATAGAGGGCAGTTCTGACCGTGAAGAATTCGCATAAAATATATGAAGTTACCAGGCTTGAGTCAGGTCCTGAGTATATTCTTTTTCCACTTGAATCTCTCACTTCAACTTTCAGGTCTTCAATAATTGGAAAGTTTGCTCCAACACTGGTTTTTTATGTTTGCAGATGCAGTCAGCAAAGTCAGTGTAGTGGCAACTTGTGCTGGAAACAAGAACGGTCACCATCTCGTTCAATCACAATGTTATTCCATGAAGTAAAGCAATTCATCACAAATACAGATCCTCTCCAAGCAGAAATCATATTAATTTACCATGGCCATAATTGTTTTTGCTCATGCTTTGCACAAAATTAGTAAAATGTGTTAAGACAATGATCATGCTGAAAAGAATAAAGAAATTACACATTATTTTTCACCAATAACTGTTCCTTGTCACAACTTAATTTTGTAACAATACACTTGTGACAAAGAGACCAGAATTTGGTTAATAGGATTTATCTGTTTAAAGCTAAAAAACCCCGTAGTTAAACTAAAGTCCCTTATAACACAATTCTTGGGTAGAAAAGTACCTTTAAGATGTTCTGACAAACTTAACTTACCAGTAACAGCAAAGTAGTTACTTAAAACCACTGCACTGCTTAGCGGGTATGACGTATTTATCGAAAACACCAGTACTCCGTCTGATGCAGTCGTGATGAACTTGCTTGCTAGATCTGTGTAGTCATTTGGTGTTCTGATCCAGGGGTCATGTGCAGTTGTCATTGTCAAATTGAATCTTACAGCTGTATGGACATCTAAGATTTTGATATCACTGAAAGTGACAAGTCCATTCACAGCCCTCTTTCGGATAATTCTGTCGTAAGTACTTGCATGGGTGATAGCTTCACTACTGTCCATACGAACCTGAAAATTTACATCATCAAAACTAAAATCACGTTTTAAGGAAGACAAAACTAGTACAGTGTTCATGAATAGCGTCTGACCCTCTGACACATCTGGCAGATTTGAAAAAGGTCTGATAGAAGTCTACAACCCGCCAGCCCCAGTGTCTGACTGTATTTTTCACAACAACTTTGACCGAAGTTGTTATATGTGACACTTGTTTGCTGTTTGTAAATCTTATACTTGTCAATAATTTAATGCCATTTATAACAAGTGTTAAACCTGAAATGTGTGTTTAATTTTATTCTTTGGATCCTGTGAATTTTCAATGGGTCAGACAGACTTTGAAACACCATTCGTGAACACTGCTACTATATGCTTCAAAAGGAATGAAATCTTTGATTATTTGTGCAAAATACACTACATATAATTTCATAAAATATCCATCCACATGCATCAGGAATACTTTAGGACTCAGTCAGATAAAAACCTTATGATTCATGTAACACTGCAATGTTTGCACTGTTGATAAATGCAAAATTGCATCATTTGAAAGGAACTTTACATCTTTCAATTCAGAAGGAAGTCAAATATGGTTAAAACAGAAAGATTGACCATTTGAAATCTTGGTTGATTTAATGTTCTTGGAGTTTAACATTTAGTTAATTTGAATTAGTTAAAAGTACTCACATCAGTGCTATAAAGAAACATTTCTTTTCCAACAGAGTGATAAAACTTTTTGAATTCATATGAGACTTGGAGGTCGACAAATGCAGTGGAGTCAAGCCCTGCTGCTACAGTAGCGCTGCCTGTGTCAACAATCTTTGCACTGACAACAAATGGACTGTTTGCAGAGATTGATGTTGGAGGTTGTGAAGTTATCACTAAAGTCTTGGCAGGTACTGAAATTGAGATGAAAATAAGAATATTATGTTAATTCCAGATGGTGGTGTTCCGATGATCGAAATAATCGAAAATCGATCGAAAGAAGGATCAAAAATAATTATCGATTGAAATAAACAAGTTTTCGATTAATCAGAATTTTTTTAGTAAAACACACTTGAATGAAGTAAATAAACGATTCAATTTGACGAATATCCATGAACAAACATGCGCTCAACAGCGTAAAGCTATGTACATTGTGTTCATAGTTTCGTATTCATCACTTTGGTAAATATTACTGTAACCTGTCTATGAATAAATTTTACATCTATTGTGAACGTAATGAGATATACTGATAAATATTTGTTGTATAAATAAACAGAATAAACACATTAACATTAATGAGAAAAAAATAGGGGAAAAACCCTTAAAATTGGCGATTACATTAAAAATGTATATATTTCGATTATAATCGATAATCCTTCACCACAATCCTCCGATAATCAATAGTGGATTGGTTTTCGATTCCCAACACTAATTATAGAGCTGATTATCGCCTGGAATGATGCCATATGATACATATTGGAAATGGACTGGAATCATGTTACACAATCACTGATTCAGGATTTGAAACATGGGAGTTATGGTGAAGCACAGTAAATGTTTTGGGGAGTCATTTTCTTAATTCTAAGTCCTGAAAATAATTTGTGAATAAAATGATTCTGTTATGAATTCTAAATAAAGCAACAGCTGTGAAAGCATATTCCGTGATATTGGAAGCTACTCGTGAAGGTCCGGGTTAGAATGAGCCTTCAGTAGCCCATGCTTGTCGTAAGAGGTGACCAAAGGGATCGGGTGATCAGGCTCACTGGCTTGGTTGACACATGTCATCGGTTCCCAATTGCGCAGCTCCTGCTGTTAATCACTGGGTTGTCTGGTCCAGACTCGATTATTTCCAGACCGCCGCCATATAGCTGGAATATTGCTGAGAGCAGCGTAAAACTAAACTCACTCACTATTGGAAGCACTCTGATGCAGTGTATATACTGCAGTTACTTGGATTCAAGGTACACTAATATTACATTAGCCTGACTCCTATGAAAATATTTTGGGAATATGTAACCAAATTGTTGAGTTAAGGCAGGAATTATGTGGCGTGTAAAACCCTGCACAACAAATAGTAAGAACAGATGAACACAACATGCATAATAAGTCACTGTAAACCATTTAATTTGGAGTTGCTTGCATACCCATGATTACAAGCACGTACTCTGTGTCAAAAACATTTTAGTATCCAAATCTGGATGTGTCAACATTATCATCAGGAGATATATGGACATTGAAAAGCAAAGTTTACTGGACCATGTTTTCCTTGGCCTATGGATCACAGGTGTGGACAGTACTAAACACCCCTGGTCATGTTCCAACTAGTATGCAACTTATTTCAGACAAGTTTTTATGTAAACTATCAAGATTTTGAGAGAAAAAAATTGTCCATCTTGATTCAGGGCTCCAGCGAAGCGCCGTATTGGTGTATCTACAGACTAAAAATATGCACCATACGGTAGGAAATAATTTAGAAAATGTAGATACACACCACAACAATAGTGTACGGTCTTAAAAATCACTTACAGACGTATTTATCTGAAAAAGTATTGTTTTATTGTTTATTGACCTGTTTACACAAGCCTAGCAATGCTGTGGTGCATATATGAAACGAAACACAAGATTACTGATACTCCATTAAATTCCATTCAGTACTCTATATGTACCCTCAAAGTTTTCCAGTACTCCTATATTGAACAAATAAGGAGTACGTACTCCCTGATGTTGAAAAATTATCTGGAGCCCTGATGATTATTATTAATCTCAGACTAAAAGACAGGTGGATGCGCCTATCCCTGAGGCCACAGGCTAAAGTCACAGGCTGAGCGAGAAACATGAAATATGTATAAATACACAATATCACAACACTCTGCCTAAGAATGTTCATTTACCAAATGTAAAATTTAAATAACAGTAGATATTTACTGATCATTATTTACTGACAATACTGGTATCACACATAAACAAATTCGCTTCAGTGAATAAAGAAAAGAATTTTGCATAGAAATGTAACGATCGGCAAAATATGCCCAAGATTGATCAATGCACCACTAGTTTTGGGGAAAGTCATGGCTGGATGGCTGGTTTGTTGTTTCACGCCGCACTCAGCAATATTCCAGCTATACGGCAGCGGTCTGTAAATAATAGAGTCTGGTCCAGACAATCCAGTGATCAACAGCATGAGCATCGATTTACATAATTGGGATGTGACTTGTGTCAACCAAGTCAGTGAGTCTGACTAGTCACCACCCAATCCCGTTAGTCGCCTGGCTAGCTATTCTCGAAATGTTCGTAGCCCTACAAACTTCTTAAGCCCATTCTTAACACATTGGCTACGACCAAATTTAAGAATTCTTAGGGCTATAAACGTTTCGAGAAAAAGGGCCCAGGTCTTACAACAAGCATGGGTTGCTGAAGACTAATTCTAAAATGGACCTGCACAGGTATGGAAAGTCATGAATTCAAAGAGATCATTTGTAAAAAAATTGTTATGTTTACCTGTGATCGTGAATTGATTTGTGTCCTGGGTCACTGTGGTTCCATCTGGGAGATGCAATGTAAAGCGGTAGATTCTGTTATTAGCTGGAATTTTTGTTAAATCATTATGTTGATGATACATAGCCTCGGCAATCATAAGTCCACTATGAGCTTCAAGAGGTCCAAGAACTGTGGCTCCATGTGAACTTGCATTTCCACAGGAAAATCTGAAAGGAAGATGATAATTTTTAAAATCAAATGATCTTTGCTTTAGCCCAAAACATGTGTGGGCGGTGGTGGGGTTAAGGCATTCGCTCTTTTCGCCAAAGACCCAGGTTTTGATTCTCCACGTGGGCATGATAAGAAAAGAAATTTGTCAAATATAACATGGTAGTAACAAATAGTACATATTCTATTTTCTATGTCTGCCCGTTCCAACCGGTAATCTATGATTACATGTTTGCAGTTTTGTTATCCAAATATGTAATATTTTAAGTAAAATCGATATTTTATACTTATCCTGACTCATGATCTTTTGCTTATCTCCCTTTCCTTTTGAATGGCAGTGGAACACTTGAATCCCTTGAAGTTCCCGAAGCAGACGTATAAATACACTCACCCACGAGTTACCTCCCTTTGCCCTTTCCCGCGCAAACCAGTCATGTGACGTGCCTTACTTGTCACTCTCTCCTGATTTTCCGCCCATGCACTTGGATCTGCTGTGAAATCTCCAGTGTCTTCAACGGGGAGGTTGGGAGGGCTTCTTCGTCATGAGTCAGGATAAGTATAAAATATCAATTTTACTTTAAAAACTACATAGTTTTCCTTATCCTGACTCATGATCTTTTGCTTATAGAATCCGACAGATGGGTGGTGGGTCAAGCCACTGGATTCAACAGCTGTCCTTAGATACCTCCTGTATCCCCCCCCCATGGGAACTGCGAAGGGCATTTCCGTGATCCTATTCTTCCAACTTCTGTTAACTCAGGGGGACCACTTTCTTGTCTTACTTCAATCTCAGACAAGTTGAATCATGTTGATTCATGTGGCTACAGATAAACTAGTATCTTCCTATTACTAGATATCTTATAACAGTGTTCACGAATAGTGTCTGACCATCTGACAAATCCAGCAGATTCGCCAACGGTCAGACAGAAGTCTACAACCCGCCGGGCCCCAGTGACTGACTGTATATTTCACAATGACTTTGACTGAAGTTGTTTTATGTGACATGTGACACTTGTTTGCCGTTTATAAATCTTATGTTTGTTAATTATTTCAATGTCAATTATAAGAAATATTAAATCTGAAATGTGTGTTTAATTTTATTCCATGGGTCCTGTGCATTTTCAATGGGTCAGACAGACATCTGAAACTTACAGGACCCAATGTCCTGTGACTTTGAAACACCATTCGTGAACACTGTTATAACAACCCATAGATTATGATAAGATCTTTATCATAAATGAGTTGCGACCCCTTCACGTACAGGTAAGATCTTTACCCGTACATGATCTTTAATCACTCATGCTAGCCTGTCTTAGACTGTTCGCATGGACTTTCAAACTAGTACATTTCCTTAGTAAAAGTTATCAACAAGTCAGCGTGATAAAGGGTGAGATTTTCCAACTCAGCGCCTTTGAGGAACCGTTAGTTGCTGTGCTACAACGAGAGGCCCAAATTGGTGAATGCCTGAGACGTTTTCAGTGGCTATGTCTCGGAGGTAGTGGTTGGCAAACACTGTGTCCGATTCCAAAAGCAGCCCTCCATAATTGTTGGTATAGAGCAATTTCCGTGCAGAGCTAGTGTTGACGCCAGTGCTCTGACTTCGTGTGGGTTGGAAGGTTCTAGTCCTGCTGCTTTATAGGCTCTCAATATAACGGCTCTCATCCAGACATGGTAGTTCTTGAGACTTCTGCTGTCGCTGTTGATAATGGGATGAACAGGCGCTTGAATTTCTTTTGAAGATATATCTTCAGGGCTCTGACTGGACACAAGGATAAGTCCTCTATATCCTGTGGACCGAGGACTGTAGACAGCGCTGGTACGTGGAACTGTCTATCTGGTTGACCAGGTAGCTGGTTCTTGGCAATAAAGTCCCATCTAAGTCCTAGATGAACTGCATTATGTTGCCCTCTGTCGAATGTGGTTCGACCAAAGTCCACCAAAGTCCAGCATGTATCTCCGATATGCATGCTGCTGTGGCTAACGCAAGCAGGAACAGCGTCTTCTGTGTTAGCAGCTCGAGTGTAATCTGATCTAGTGATTCGTAGACATCACTGGTAAGATGACTAGGGCTGGGACGGGTAGGAAAAAATGGAATCGAGTACCCGCATGTACTTACCCGAATCGGAATCGAGTACCCGGAAATGTAAGGAAAACAGCGCTTCTGTCTACTTCCTGAATATTCATTCACGATTTGACAGAGATTATTATAGAAAACCTATCAGGGTGGCAATAAGACATTAAAAATGATCTCAAGCTATATAATTTACGTCTGTTTGACCAATATAAAGAGTAACACCATTACTTACATTGCTCGTTAAAATAAACTTTTCGTTCCTACTGTTACTGTAACTTGACTACTCACTGCACATGCGCACATAATTTACAGTCGTTAATAATAACCTCCATTAATCGGACAATACCAATGATGTAAATGTGTGTTACGTCAGTAATGAAAAAGACAAGTTATTAACTGCCCTTGTCATTACAGAGTTCTCTCCATTCCGGGTACTCGATTCCTAGAAATAGGACTCGATTCCAGCTGTACCCGACCCGGATTCGAGTACTCGAGTACCCGTCCCAGCCCTAAAGATGACGCAGAATTACATTTAGATCCCAGGCTGGAGCTCTGAATTTCTTTTGCTGGTCCTCCAGCTTAAAAGATCTCAGCAGAGCAAGTAATTCTGGTACTTTCGTCAACTTGCTTTGGCTGCCCTGGCGGAGTATCCTCTTTTCTTCAAGCACGTTTTGATACGGTCCACACGTGTAACTGGAACGCTGTTGGGTTTCCGTGGACTTGCTTGGTGTGCGGATGTATTAGTAGGTTCGGCCAATCTGGTAATTTGATTACTGGGTTTCCAAGATCTTCTATAAGGTCTGGGAACCATGCTCTCAGTGGCCAGTAGGGTGCAACCAAAGTCAGTTGTAGCGTCTGAGTGTGTTTGATCTTGAACAGTACTTTTGGCAGTAGTATCGGGGGTGGAAAAACGTAGCCGTTTAATCCTTCCCACGACATGCTCAGTGCATCTGTTGCCCAGGCTTGAGGATCTGGAACTGGCGAGACAAACATCTGTAGTTGTTTGTTGAACCTCGTGGCATACAGGTCTATGCAAGGGGATCCTATCTCCCTTATGTTCCGAAACGCTTCTGGATGGAGCATCCATTCCGTAGAGTGACGGGTGTAGTGGTCTTGAGAGAGCCTCTGCCAGTACGTTCTTGGCTCCGGGTATGTGACACGCCTTTATCCAGATGTTTGCTTCCTGCGTGATCTGGAACAACTGGAATGTGAGCTGCAACAGGCTTAGAGACCTTGTGGATCCTTGTCGGTTTATGGAGAACGCCACTGTCGAGTTGTCTGTGTGGATCATCACCATTTTGTTGTTCAGCAAGCTCGACCATAGTTGTAAGGCGTTGATCATGCTTTCATCTCTAGCAGATTGATGTGAAGCTGCTGTTCCATTTTGGACCACTTTCCCCACACCACTTGATCGTTGAGATCGAACCCCATCCTTGCATCGAGGCGTCTGCGTAGAGATGTGTGTCAAAGGCCGGCTCTTGTAAATAGGTCCCTTCGCAAACGTTCAACCTGTGTGTCCACCACAGTAGATACCTCTTGAGGTTTTCCGGCAGCAAGATAGGGTCGACGCTGTCTAAATGTTTTATCAGGAACCGTTGCAGCGGTCTTAGTTGTAACCTTCCTGTGCGAGTCAAGTCCTGCGCCAAGGTTAGCAGACCGAGTAGAACCTGCCATGATGGTAGTGTTAACGGAGAGACGACTGCTGGTGAATCATGGTTTATATCTGACCCAACATTCCCCTAGATCTCGATGATGTAGGTATGCGACTATAGGCTTGGTTATTCGTGTGAATAGCCACAAAGCCGAAGATATTCCAAACGGTAGGACGTTCCATTGGAAGTGCTGCCCTCTGAATAGGAATCGTAGATACTTTCTTGATTCCTGATGTATCGGGATGTGAAGGTACACATCCTGCAAGTCTATGCTGGCCATGTAATCTGCTGGACAGATGAATAGTTTGAGTTGAGGTAGGTGGATCATTCTGAACCTCTCTGGTTTCAGTAAGTAGTCTTTGTTGAATTTACGCATGTTGTAAATCTGTCTGAACTTCTCCTTAGAGTTTTTCTTGGGTACTAGAAAAATTGGGGAGTAGAAGCCTGGAGTGAGATGATTCTGATCTATTATCTCTACAGCATCTTTCATCAGTAGTGCGTTGATGGCTTCTTGTAATTTGTCTGCTTGTTCCTCTGCATAGTTGAAGACCATCGGGCTGAGTGTTAGCGGAGGTGTGGCTTTTAGTTTGTGTACTTTGTATCCTTCTCTTAGTACTTGAGAGACGTAGTCGTCCTCTAGTATTCCCCAATTCTTCCAGTACCCTTGTAGACGTCCACCCACTGTTGATAGTTTTACAGGAACGGCTGGGGGTGGAAGACTCCAGTCGTTCCGAAACCCTGATATCAACGTCTAGTTACTCTGGAAGCTCTGGGGCCGTGGCCTCTCCCTTAGTTTCCTCTGTAATTTCCGGATGGGCGACGAAAAGAGTCTTTGCCGCCTCTGAAGCTGGAGTACTTCTTGTCCTTTGCTTTCTGTATTCCGGAGTACTTGGACTTGTTATTAAACTTCTGAGAAGCATGGCGGATGACGTTGGCCAGGGTATCTATGGTTTTAATCATCATCACTTCTCTGGTATCATGCGTAGCTTCCTTAGCTGCATCGTCTATTAGACCTCCAAATATAGTAGGCGCCTCCCATGGAACCGTCCAAGAGCAGGACGCAAGTAGTCCCTGTCTGCGTACTAAGGTGAGTCCTGCAGATATTGATGTCAGATGGTCCAACAAAAAGTACTGATCCTTCCTCTTCCGAAGTTGAATTCTGGAATTTATTATCAATGCTTCGTTGATGGCTCTGGACCTGGCCAATCCAAAGAAGGATCCCCTAGAAGCCGTATCTAGTTGAGATAGTTTTTTGTCTTCCACTTTGTACATC